AATCTGGATAGAAGCCTGTCTGGTCCCACAACTCTTGCATTTCATATACCTGTAAAGTCTTCACTATGTGGGTAATGATAAATTCACTCTAGTTTAAGCATTACTTAGGCAAGGCATTGACTGCTGCATTACTCTTCAGGGAAACTGCTCAGCTGCTTTAATTTTTCTGGCAGCCCAAGATGGTTATTTCCTTATCTAGTTAATAAAAAGCAAATAATCTGCCATCTGCTCAGCTCAGACCATGGTCTTGGTCCAAATAGACCCAATTAAAAGGCCATCATAGGAGAATTCAGGGGAAGAGGAAAAAACATTGATCAAATCAAGCACCCAGCTGCGCCGGGGCTGGTTTGTGTCTGGCAGTGACAGAGTCCTCCTTTCCCTCACCCTGCCCTGCCCTCTCCTGGACACTTCCCTAGACCGGGGGCCTCTGCCTCACCTGGCTCTGTCCTTTGCTCTCCCACTCCATCCACTGACCAGCTGTGTGGCCCCTCACCAGACCATCTCCAGGTGCCAAATTCACCATCTGCAGACACGTACAGTATCCTCTGCATCTCCTCAGCCCCATTGGATGCATCGGGAGTCTTCCGCTTTTCCTTCAACACACACACGGGGTCCGTCTGCTGCCCCCTCCTTCCTTTGCTGCCACCTGGGCTCCACTCCAGGTTGATGTCTCCTCTGGATTTCAGCCATAGTGCTTACCTGCTCTCACTGCTTCTCGCCTCACTCTGTTGTATCTATTCTCCATGCAGCAGCCCCGCTGGTCCTTTGGAAATGGAAGTGCGACTGGATCTTCTGCTCAGAACTTCACCATGGTTGTCACATGGCTCAGTGCCAAGCACGTTCCCTGAACCTCTGGTCTCCTTTTCCCTTGCCTTCTCCACCCCAACCACAGGATTCCTTTCACAGGCAACCAAACCTCAAGGCCTTTGCACTTCCTGGATCCTCTGTCAGGAAAGCTCCTCCCGCGGTCTAACTCCCCACTGTTTTCAAACATTTGCTCAAATACCACCTTAGAGCCTCCCTCTCTTGAAGTCCACTTGGCCACTGTTTTTAAAATTGGAGCATCCTTGTCCTCCCAACACCTTTTCTGCTGTTTTTCTCCTACACCACTCGTAGTTTGCCCTATAATTTGCACCTACACTTATTTCCTTTAATTAATTTACATTTTATTATATCTATTGTTACTTAGATCTCTCCCATTAGAATATAAACATGGAGACAGCATCTTCGACTTTTTTTTTTTTTTTTTTTTTGAGGCAGGGTCATGTCTTTGACTTCTCCATCTACTGATGGTTTATTATCTACAGCAATTACTTGGCACATAGGTGGCACTTTAAAAATATTTAGTGAATAAATTAATGAGTGAACCAATAATAAAGTTCCTGCCTTGCAGTGAGGCTCAATTTTTTTTTCAACATAAAAATAGAGTACATTTATTAACAGTAGGAAAACTCCCATATTTAAAGCAACAATGTTAATCTTACATAATAACACACTGACCAGTTTAACATTTCTACATGTTACAAGTTCCCTGCCAGATACTCTTAAGAGTTATCCACAAAACCTGTCCAACACATACTATCAACATATAACAAGACATGGCATTCATTTCACAGGGAGAAAAATAAGTTTCGTCACAAAAACAGACTTGCTGGATTTTAGTCTGAAATTCTAGAGATAACTTTTAAAGATTAAAAAAAAAAATTCACTTCCAAAATAAAAGTCTTTATATAGCTCATTTTTAATGCTCTTTATGCTTGTACAATGTAAAACACTTAGAAACTTTTGAACTCTAGAA